GAATAACTCACCGTTCTGCGAAGATCCTCCATAGGGCAGCCATTTTCAGCTCCCTGTAATGCAAAAATGCCTTCCTAAACACAGCAGGGAGCCATTTTGTACACCCAGTGGCCATTTTGAAACCCGAGAATCAGCTATATTTGATCGTCATAATGCGAAGAATCAGTTCCCGAAGCAGGGAACTGATCATCGCAAAGCGGAAAAACCCCATTCAAACATCATTTTGTGATCGCTTTTCCTGCATTGAGCAGGGGGTTGGACTTGATGGCCTTGTAGGCCCCCTTCCAACTTCACTTTTCTTTGATTCTATGATTCAATGACTACTTCTTCAGATATATGAGTCAGAAGATAGAGATTACATGGTAAAACATTCATGCAAAGCTCTAAGCTAAAGGGACCGTGATACCTGGTTGCATTCCACACCTAGTAATGATTTCAGTCCCCTATTTGGTACTCAGTTCTTTTGAAGTTTGGTTTTGTAAACAGCAACAATGATTAAAAGAAGCAACAGTAGAAATAAGATTTGATAATATAGAGAATAACATACTTTACATTTTAAATCTTATTCTGAAAAGATGGGTCTGATTAGTTGGAATGGAAAATAACCAGCGATAACAACATACAGTAATTGTCCAATTTGTAATGGTTTAAGAAACCTTGGCTAGTATTTAATCCATTAAGATGCATGTCCAGTACACGTATATATCTTATCTCAGTTGTTTTCATCTGGATTCTTGTTCTATAATTTAAGATACAAGGGGGAAATATGCATTGCTAAACATTTTTTTCAAAAAACATTTCATCCTCCAGGTGTTCCAACCTTCTTTATAATACTATGGATCTTACTTAAGGTGCATTTTGAAGACAATCTGTAAGTCGTGTTTTCTTTTTGAAATTATAATGTGGGGAGTGGGTTTGACAGCTTGCGCTGATGTTTAAAGAAGGCAGGAAGTCTAGGCTTGCACAAATTCTGGGCCATTGACACACATCCATGGTGGTTTAGTGAGGATGGGGGCAGTTTCTGATGCCAACTTGGTGATGACAGCTAGCCTGTTGGCTGTGTTCAATTTGTGAGGAATTGTGAAAACATGCCAGAAAATCTGTCTGGGGGGATTTTGTTAATATCTATCCAAAAAATAACAAAACAAAAAACTCACAACTATGGAAGAAGAACGCAACTTTAGTGCTGACAGTGAAGACACTGAAAATAGTTATAAGTTTTGTATACCTTGGTTCATCCATCCATCCAAAGGGAGACTGCAGTGAGGAAATCAGGAGAAAGGGCAGCCATGAAGGAATTAGAAAAGATCATCCAGCGTAAGGGTGTCTCACCGGAGACCAAGACTAAGATCAACCACACTCTAGCATTTCCGACCACTGTGTACAGGTGTGAAAGCTGGACAGTGAAGAAAACGGACAGGGAAAAAATGGATTAATTTCAAATGTGGCGCTGGAAGGACAAATTTCGCAGATGCAAAGAAAGACCATTTATTTATTTATTTGATTTATATACCGCCCCTCTGGCAACGCGGGCCATTCTGGTTGTTTCACAAACCCCAAGACACAGGATGAAACAAAGCGATGCAATAACAAAACAAAGTATAAATCAATCAATACAAAATTAAACAGACCAAAATAATATCCATGAACATAAAAAGGAGAAGAAATTAGACGGTGGTGGTGGGGGGTTTGAACCCTAAGTTGAATCAAGATAGAGTGGAGTCCGGGGAAGGCCTGTTTGAAAAGGAACGTTTTAAATAATTTCCTGAAAGATCAACACGTCGGTCCTAGATCCAATGAAGCCTGAACTCTCTCTCTCTCTGGAGGCCAAAATGCTGACGCTGAGGCTGTTCTGATTTGGAAACCTGCTGAGAAGACAGGATTCTCTGGAAAAGAAAATAATGCTAGGAAAGATGGAAGGCCGCAGGAAAAGAGGAAGACCCCAATACGAGAGGGACCGACTCCCTCAAGGAAGCCACAAGCTTGAGTTTGCAAGAGCTGATCAGGTCCATTGAGGACAAGACATTTTGGAGTTTGCTCATTATTATAGGGTTGCCATAAGTTGGAACACAAACAGAGCCTCCATAGATCAAGACAACCTTTTTTTAAAATTTGAGAGTGAGAAAACAGGTGTATTTTCTTTACTGTTTTACAAATGGGGGAGATGATCAGAAAGATGCGGGCCCTGAAGATGTTGTTTTCTGAAAAGATGGAGGATGTCTGTTTGCCTTTAATCACCCTTGGGGTTACTTCCAGGTGCTGGGACGCCAACCAAGGTTCTCCTTACTGGTGGCTCATCAAAGGACCCATTATCCTTTCGGTCGGGGTGCGTATCCTATTTCCAGTTGTGTGGACAGCATTGGTATGGAATGATGGCTGTTGCAGCAGTGTGCGAGCGTGCGTGGGAGCGTGTGTGAGAGAGCAGACGTTCAAGAGCCAAGCTTGCACAAGACGGAGAAAGGAAGCCGATTAATGAACGCACAGCCTTCCCGTGTTCCTTCTTTAAAGAGCGTTGCGATTGCCCTCCTCACGATGGTTATTTGCTACGACCGCTTCGGTTCCCAAAATGGGACAGGCATATAATAATAAATGGGAACCTCTTTATACCTGGATGAAATCTACACCGATTTCAGTAAAACAGATTAGATTAATTTTACGTTAGAGAGTATAAGATGAGATGAAATGAATGGAACATATTGCAGAAAATCACTCTGGTTGCAACGGATAGAAAAGTAGAACAAAAATACAATAAATATTTATTTAAAAAAATTGGACCGGCAAGGGAATGGTAGCAGCAGGCCCTCCCTCTTTAATTTTTTAAAAATTTTTTTACCCCACCTCCTCAACAAGAATCCAAGCCGGCTTACATCCTTAAAAAAAGACAATATTTAAAGGTAAAAACAGGAAGGGTGCCAATACTAAAAATGCCATACTAAAAACGATAAACGAAAGCCGGACCCTAACACAGTCAAAGCAGTAAAGGGGCAATAATTCGTTTAACACCCCCTCTCGAACAGTGAGTCCCTCAGGGAAGGCTTGCCTGAAGAGAAAGGTCTTGGCCTGCCTGCAGAAGGACAGCAAAGATGGAGCCCCCGGCTGGTCTCCAGTGGCAGGGAGTTCCAAAGTCTGGGAGCTGCCACCGAGAAGGCCCTCCTGGTTCCCCATCCAACACCCCTGTCTTGCACTTGGTGAAACTGTTTTCACCCTTACCAGTTTATTAGCTCTTTTTTACATATAGTTTTTCTTTTGCTATCAGTTGTCAAATAAACGGAACATTCTCACAAGAATTTTCTGAGGCCGTTTCTGATCATTTTCTTTCCTTCCTTCACCTAGTGAGAGTCCAAACTCTCTCCATCATCTCTCCCTCTATCTCTGATCCAGGTCTTCCCAGGTTCATGCTTATGTGGTGAAAAGGGTTTTGCCCATGTGTGTGTGAGGTATCCACCTCAAACTCAGGGAAACTCTGAGGTTCATGGAGTAGGAAGAGACCTCCCCTTGTATAATCTCCTGGGACAGACCGAGAAGCCATTTTAAATCTCCCCCGTCCCAAGCAAGAAAGAGTTGTGCAAACATATCCATGGAGGGGAAAAAAAGACATTTTACTGAATCATGGACTGCGCAGAAATATATATCCACCTCATCTGCGCAAACTTCAAATCAGAGAGGGAACCATCAAAACAGACCAATGGAGAGTTAAAAAATTGTGGAAAGGTGTGTGTTAGAGTATGCGTGCATACATTTATGTCTGTTTTGTGTAGGTGTATATTTTTGCAAAATGAAATACAGTAGGATCCCTGATCCGTGGATCAGTGTCCGCTGATTCACTTATCCATGGCCTGAAATTATTTAAAAATATTAAAATAAAAATAATAGAAATATATATATTTCTAAAGGTGATGTTACCAGAACAATCACTAGAGAGAGCCAGAGACATGCTATGTGTACTGTTTGCTAGAGTAATACACCGTATTTTTCCATGTATAATACACCCCCATGTATACTATCCCCCCACTTTTCTAACCCCAAATTAAGAAATCTAAGTGGGGCTTAGCAAGTGCAGGGGGAAAGGGATCAAAGCACTGCCGGATTGCTTTGATCCCTGCTTTCTGCCCTCATGCTAAGCCCCGCAGGACTTAGCAAAAGGAGAGGGAAAGGGATCAGAGCAATCCCATGACTGCATGATTGTTTGGATCCCTTTCCCCCTTATACAGCCATGGGATTGCTTTGATCCTTTCCCCCTACACTTCCTATGTCCCATGGGACTTAGTAAGCAGAGGGGAAAGCAAGGATCAAAGCCATCCTGCAGCGATTTGATCGCTGCTTTCCTTTTGCTAAGGCTTAGCAAGGGGAGGGGAAAGCAGGGATCAAAGCCCTGCAGGATCACTTTGATCCCTGCTTTCCCCTTCACTTGGTTTTTCTCTTCTCAGCTTACTTCTGTGTATAAGACGACCCTCGATTTTTAATCTAAATATTTTAGACAAAAGTATAGTCTTATACATGGAAAAATACGGTATTTCTACAGATGAAATTACCCAAACTGGCCAGTAGAGAGAGCCAGAGACCATGCTATGTATTTCATTGGCTATTAAAACAGCATTTGCAATCTGCGTGCTTCAGCATCTGCGGTAGGGGGAGGGGGGCTTGGAACTGTTGCCCCAGAGATATGGGGATTCTAGAAAATGAAATTTCAGTTGCACTTGCTAAATATGCTCTCCCCCCCCGTCTCCTCTCCCACATCATCACTGTGGCTGCATCATCGATGTCTCCGGAACAGGCCTGCTTTGTTCTTTTTATCAACATCATCCGCATCCTCCTGAAAAAGCTGGACGCGAGACAAATCAATTTCAACAACTCCTCCCTATACAGGTAACAAGATGAGAGTCTGCTAACATGGGGTCAAAAAAAGGCCCCGCGACAATATGTTGTGAAATATCGAGTGGTGTGTTCACCGTGCTTGTGCTGCTTGTTTGTTTTATTTAGAATCCATTTAAAAAAATTAGTTGTGCATGTATTTTTTTTAAAGGACACTTGAAATAAGAACTCTGGGTTGCAAAATATGAATAGCATGGAGACAGTTATGCTAGAAGCTGCCATGATTCATGATAGGTAATGAATATGGGAAATTCATTATAAGTAATTTCGGAAAGTCATTATAATTCATGATAAGTAATGCATTTCGGAAAGAGAAAAAATGAGTTATTTCAGTAAGAGCAAACAAAGAGTTTTAGGCAATATGTCCATACAACCTCTGTTTGTCAGCATCAGTTTGCACATGGTGATTCTGCCATCTAGTGGACATTTATATCTATTGCATTAAGAGTCAATTTGAAGTTTGGTTCTTTTTAACCTTTCTCATGTCTCTCTCCCTCTGTTAGGCGTCTCTCTAAGTCGACGCTGCTTCTCATCCCCTTATTTGGAACCCACTACATCATTTTCAACTTTCTTCCCTATTCCATCGTGGGAATCCGTCTGTACTTGGAGCTCTGTATTGGTTCGTTCCAGGTGAAGTATGGAACGAAGGGATATGTTAGACAAGCTTTCTCTAACCTGCTGTTGCCCAGATATTTACAGTGGTGCCTCACTTAACAAGCGCACCGTTTAACGATGAATACGCATAGCGATGGCTTTTTTGCTATCTTAAAAGTGATCGCATTGTGATGTTTTATATGGCCAAACATCGCTTTGTGGTGATCGGTAAGCATTTCGCTTACCGATTTTCCCTTAACGATGTTTAAAAAACAGCTGATCGGCGGTTCCAAAATGGCCGCCAGAAAAAAATGGCCGCCCGCAGCATTTTCGCGCCCTTTCCTTGCTTACTGGGCAGCGAAAATGGCAGCCGGATGGAGGATTTCCACATAGTGGTGAGTTTTTCCCCATAGGAATGCATTAAACACATTTTAATGTGTTCCTATGGGTTTTTTTTTGCCCCGTATAGCGACGAATCCGGATAGCAACGGTTTTTCGGCACGGATTATCGTCACTATGTGGGGCACCACTGTATGTATTTATTTGCTTGTTGGTTGGTTGGTTTGTAATCGATTTACCCCCGCCTTTCTCCTTTAAAAGGACGTGAGGCAGCTTACATCATTAAAAGACAATATTTGAAGCGAAAAACAGCAGGGGTACAAATGTTAACAAGGATCCGACAAATACCACCCTTTAAAAAAAAAGGCAAATAGAAGCAACATCAAAAACATATAGAAAGCAGTAAAGGCGCAACCATTTATTTTTAAAGAAACCCTTTTAGACTGCCAGTCGTACAGGGAAAGCCTGCCTGAGGAGAAAGATGAAAAACAGCAGGGTAGAAATGTTAACAAGGATCCGAGAAATACCACCCTTTTTTAAAAAAGGCAAATAAAAGCAACATCAAAAACACATAGAAAGCAGTAAAGGCACAACCATTTATTTTTAAAGAAACCCTTTCAGACTGCCAGTCATACAGGGAAAGCCTGCCTGAGGAGAAAGATTTTTTTTCATGGCTATTTACCTGTTACAGTACAGGTCTCCTGCCTATGATTCTATGATATGATGACCCCCTTATCTCCAGGATCAGTATTTGCTGATTCACTTATCCACTATCTGAAAATATTAAAAGAAAAATCCTAGAAATATATACTTCTAAAGGTGAGGTTACTGGAACTGGACACTAGAGGGAGGCAGAGACCGTGCTATATATAATGTTCGTTATGAAAGGAGCGTTCACCTTCTTCAGAGCATGAACCTTTTCCAGCACCAAATACAGTGGTGCCTTGCTTAACGAGCGCCTCGCTGAGTGATGAAATCGCTTAACGAGGCGCTCTGGGCCATCGCTGGAGCATACCATCCTATCTTCCCTCAGCCTTCATTTCTAAGCTAAACCTGCCCAATTCTTTCAGCCTTTCCTCATAAGACTTGGTTTCCAGCCCCCTGATCCTCCTTGTCGCCCTCCTCTGAACTTGTTCCAGTTGTTAAGCATGCTTCTTGAAGGGTGGTGTCCAGAACGGGACACAATACTCAAAGCGAGGCCTAACCCTTGCCAAATAGAGGGGAGTGAGTTGTTACCCTCTAAAAGCTACTACAGATGCCAGGAAGCAGTCCTAGATCCTCACGGTGGCTAGAAAATGGAAAGGAAGTTTGTCCAAAAGAAGGAAAAACTCAGTTCTCTCACAAAACAAAACCAAGAAACACCCATTCATCAAATCCTTTCAATTTACACTGCCATGCTGCAATGCTTGTGTGTTACTTTGCATGAACTAACTATTGCATTTGTGTGTTTTTGGTAGGGCTTCCTTGCAGCGGTCTTATACTGTTTCCTAAATCATGAGGTAAGAGAGCCTCGTTAGTGCTCCAAAATCTATTCGTTTGCTTTACGATTCTTCTTTTTTTCATCATGCAAAGTTTGCCCTCTAGTGGTTATGTAAACAATTGTTATTAGAGATGGAATATTCATATTCATAGAGGAATCCGAATCTCCCTGACCCAGGTGGATGGGATCCCCAGTCCCTCCTGCCCGAACCCACCCACCCACTTACGGGTCCCCACGCACCACGCAGGGCTGGCGTTCTGCTTGTTGTGCCAATACGAGATGAAGCCAACCGGCGCTGCTCTGCCTTCCTGCTCTTCCGGCCAATCAGCAGCTGCGTGGGGAGAATCGACATCCCGCCCCCTGGGCTGGATTGGCCCAGAAGAGCAGGAAGGCGGAGCAGAGCCAGCTGGGCTTCATCTGGCATTGGCACCATAAGCAGGACCTCGGCCGTACACAGCCTGTGTGGCAACCCATAAGTGGATGTGTTGGTTTGAGGGGGCAATGACTGGGGACCCTGGTTACCTGGGTCTGGAGTATTCGTAGCCGGATACGAATCAGCTACGAATCCGAATCCTGCTATATATCCGGCTACGAATACAAATCCAGCTATGAATCCGGCTACGAATCTGGCTACGAATACGAATCCAGCTACAAATCCAGTTTTGAATAGGAATCCAGCTATGAATCCAGCTACGAATACAAATCCAGCTACGAATCCGGCTATGAATATGAATATCACATCTCTAATTGTTACGTCAACCCAGGACACTCCACTAGGGTGCCATCTGAGCAACTGTCACCCAGCAACTGTCACCCAGCTTCCGAGAGTGGCAGGATTGGGAGCCTCCCTCGAAGATCTCAAGTCCTGCCTTAGCTCCTCTATAAGTATATGGTTTTTGAAAGAGCCTGGTCCCAAGCCATATTCACCAAAGGAAATTGAAATGAGGCCCTATATTGGAGCCCTTCAAAGGCTCTTTGAGGGCGAACTTTCGTGAACCAAGAATCCACTTCTTTAGACACAGGGGGTACAAATGCGTGTCCCTTATATCTATTTCTTGTTGGTGAGATTTATGCCTAGGTGGAAGTGCAGATAACAGGCAAAGTGGCAATGATTTATTAACATGGGAATGGGGCTATCCTGTCAAGCTGTAAAGGTGGCGTGTGTGGATCTGTATTTTTGGACTATGACCCCCAGAGAGGCCAAACGTTTCTGAGCACTTTCCAAAGGCAGTGAAATGCAGCAGAGGCACCCTATTCACAGTATCTGCTGATTCATTTATCTACCATCTAAAAATACTAAATAAAAAAAAACGCCAGGGTGCATTTTCCAGACCTGGCCATTAGAGATCTTGCAATGTATAGCGTTTGATGCTACCATTTTTCGACATCCACAAGGGGACTTGGAACCAATTCTCCATGGGTTGCTGTGGTGGTGGTTTAGTCGTTAAGCCATGTCCGAATCTTCGTCACCCCATCGACCGGATCACGCCAGGCCACCACATTCTGGTCTTATCAATGCCAGCTATTGTGGCCAGAACCCTACTGGCCATTTATATCCACATAAGAGAAACGACTGAAGCCATAGTGGCCAGTTCTCACAATTAATAAATTAGCTGCATGTCTTTGGCGCCTCTGGGTGTTCAGCCAGGAATACACCCGGTGCTTTGTTAATGAGCAGCAACTGGCTGCCAGAGCTTCAGCCATTTTGGCGACCCTGGGGGTCAACCGCTGAGAGGATTCTGGCGAGCAACAACAACATTTCTTCTGTCCTTTACCGCGTCTAGAAAGTGACCACAACTTTTTAGCAACCGCCGGTTTTCCCTTTTCCAGGTGCAGGCGGAAATTTGTCGGAAATGGCGTGGCAGCAGTTATGGATTTGCCGTGATGTGGAGGAGGAGGACGACGAGGTGGACCATGCCCTCGAGTTCTGGAATCAAAATGACAGCCTCTGTATGCAAAGGATAACCAATAAAGAAAGGCACCCCGGAGTTCAAGGGTGTGTGGAAATCCCCCCCGATTCGTCAACGTGCTTTGATGGGTGATTCCCACACCCATCTAAATCTCTTCAAGACTCTTCAAGGAGGGCTTCTGAGGGCAGAGAGTAACAACCTACATAGCCTATAATTAGAACTGAAACAGTATTACGGCCAAAAACGCACACACAGTACAGTTAACATGTCATTAGAAACGGAACTCATGTAAGAGGGGGAAAGACTGCCTCTTTATTCTAGCATGAATGTGCCTTGATCTGTGTTTGGCTGATTAGGCTTTTTTCTGTTTGGTGGTTGGTGTCTTGAGAGATACGCTTAACTTTGTTCTCATGTTAGATTCTTAGGCACGGAGCTCTGAAAGATGTGTGTGCCTGGAGGGATAATATTGAGAGAGGATGGAACAGGTATTTCCTATTATGTAGAATTCAATCTTTTGTGTTGTTGGGAAGATGTAATTCGCGCAAACCTTAGGGTTTGAGAACTTTGGGGGTTTAAGAAGTTAGGTTCCAAAGGGATCCCGTGCTTTTAAGTCCTGAAGTCAACAAAGCAAGGTGATTAGCAAAATAGGAGAGATGAGGAAAAAAATCCTGCCGTGACAATCACATACAATCAACCTTTAGTATCTCCCTCTTCTAACGACGGGTTGTCTGGAACATATCTGTTTCTGCCCCCACCTGAACTGTTCAGTTTTTTTGAATTCAGAACCATCTGGTCTTGCTTCTGTAATTGAACTGTTTATTTAAAATTCTCTTATTCTTAATTTTTTGTGTGGGGGGGGGTTGCATCGTTCTGCTTCCGTTTTCTTATGGGGAAGGGAACTTAACCTCACACCTAGTATGAACAACGCCCAAATTCCAAGTTCAAAGTGGAGCAGAAATGGGCAACACACGGCACAAAGGAAGGAATGGGACCTTCCAGGAAGCTGATCTTTGTTCATTTCTAGGGCTGACATTAAAAATTCTCCTAATTTAACCCAATATTCAGGCTAAACAATTGTTTATGGGATGAAACAGCTAGGAGCATCCAGCATTCAATCCTAGTGGTGGCTTCTGTATGCAGATGAAGCATCGTAAGCAAGAGTTGAGTTGACGTTTCGCCGCCTTTTTTTAATCTGGGAAAACTGCTGGGATTTTTTTCTCATCCCTTAAGCCAGTGGTTCACAGCCTTGGGTCACCCGGGGGTTCTTGGACTGCCGTTCCCAGAAGGCCCCACCACCGGCTCTGCTGGTCAGGGTTTCTGGGAGTTGAAGTCCAAGAACATTTGGGGTCGCCCGAGTTTGGGAACCACTGCCTTCAAGCCCACTCTGCATGGTTTCCTCCACCATCTGGTTTGGCTCGACCACCGTCGTCTCCCGGAAATGCTACCAGAAGGACACGGGGCCGTGGCATTCTGGAAAGAGCAATAGGGAAATCCCTACTCTTTGATGGCACCTCCCAGAATACTAGTTTTCTGGAAGCTGTAGCTCCCTCAAAGCTCTGATGGTGGAGGTTGTGCATCGGTAATGTGTTTGCCACGATCTGGCTCTACACACTTAAAGTCACACGGTCAGCTCCAATGGATGTAAAAGGGAATCAACTACACTTTAAGACCCTTAGAGAATAATCTACAGGGCATTGTTGGGGGGAAAAAGGATGCCCTCACTCAAGACCAAGAAGACCATCGATAGAGGTGTGTGGCTACCAAACCCCTTGTCTAGTCAGTGTCCTGGTCCCATCCTCTCTCTGGTCCTCTGTAGCATGGAGTGAAAAAAAAATGTTGCAGAGTTTTGAATTTTGGTGAAATTCCTCTACGCTGCACAGCAAAAGTGCAGGGATTTGCAGTGCAGAATAGTGTCAGATTCCACAGAGTCGCCCATCTCTTTTCTTACTCACTGGCACTTACAGTCTCAGCAACTCACTCTGAGAGATTAGTAGCGGAAAGAATAGGAGGTTTGGTTACTTACAGTTGAACAGATCCAACAGCAAAATGACAAAAACGACTGCTTTCAGCAACAGATCTCACCAGATCTCCAAAGAAGGAAAAAGCACTCAGTACAGAGACGGGGTTTTCTTTGAATTCAGAAGCAGGGAAGGAAGGATGGGTTACTATTGGATAGACTGAAAAGTCCCTCCCAGCCAAACCTGCCAAAGTCAGCATGCGAGGTTGCAAAATTTCCAACAAAAATTATTACAATGTGATTCCAGATTTATCACCCTGAACAGGTCATGGCACATCTTAAGCTACCACGGATGCTCTCGAATCACAGGTACCTTTTTGCTTTCTCCCACATTCTCAAGTTGCTTCTGTTCCCTTTTGTAGGGGGGAAATATGCAATGTTTTCGATACCCTTTGGAAACAGTGAACCAAGCAACATTTTCAAACCACCTTTCAGTATGGATGTGAAGGCTTCTCACGAGGCATCTTGTTTAATGCACTGGTTCTAAACCTTTGTTACTCAGATGTTTTTGGACTGCAACTCCCAGAAGCCTTCACCATCAGCTCTGCTGGCTGGGGTTTCTGGGAGTTGCAGTTCAAAAACACCTGAGTAACAAAGGTTAAGAACCACTGGCACAGACAAGTCTCTTGATCTAGTGAGACAGTCTGGTGAAGATTGTCAAACCCTTGTGAGACGTTTTGCCACTGGGGTGAGACTGAAAATCTCATTGCACAAGACGCTGATTCCGTATCTACAAGGAGGGAGCTCTTGAGAAGAGAATATGATCTTTTTATTCTAACATGAGCTTGCCTCTATCTGTATTTGGCCAATTAATCGCCTTCTGTTATGTAATTGGAAAACTGGGATATACCAGATTGCTGGTTACATGTCTCAGGCAAGAAGACTTGCATGCCGAGAGGGATAATGATGTTAAGAGCAAGAAATAAAGATTACCTTAACATATGAGACAGCTTTTCGTATGTGGTTTGTATGACTTGTGTAAAATGTCTCTTTCATGTCTTTTCCCATTCTGGGGCTAGAAATACACAAAAGGACAGGTTGATGGTTCACAAAGATACAAGCAACTCATTCCATGCTATAGCATTTTAATACTCCATGAAACAAGGCAGCAGTTCACCTTGTGCGTTTACAGATGTGTATGCACCAACTGATCACACAAACAGACAAATTCTCAGCAAGATGGACTGATGAAACCCTCATCCTTCTGCAGGGAGAGGAAGAACATTTGTGCTTTCTTAATTTTCTGGGCAAGGGTAAACCTGGCCATTTTGTACAGCCCTACTTGGAATCTAACGGCACCCTTAGCCCGGGTCAACACGGTGCCACATGGTAAACAATAATCGACATTATCGGAAGAGCCACTCCACAAAATGGACTCTGTGTTAAAAGTTGCCATGGCAACGTCGCTCCTCACAATTCCCTCCAGAGGGCTCATTATTTCTCCTGCTGGAAGGAGCATCATCATCATTAATGATAATTAAAAGGAGTGTTTGGGGTTAATAGGCGCTGAAAAGGTGGAGGATGTTTACCTGGGGGCACCTGAGAGAGAAATAAATAAATAAATAAAGGAGAAACGGGTTTTTTAACCGGGTAGGAAATACAGGATCACCGCCATCACATTGAAATAAAGAGATGGAGAGGAAAGGGTCCCTGTATGTTTTTTTTTGGGGGGGGGGAATCTTATGCGTGGCCATGTGAAAAGGGAGGAAGGAAAATGAATTCAGAGACTTTGTCAAGACTCCGACCCCAAGGCCATTAATCGAGCTTTAAAGCCAGACAATAGAAATCATCCTGCTCCGGTATGATTCCCTTTCCGCTGTGAAGTGCTATGATGAAGAACTTGACAGGGGAAGAATTGGGAAGAACAAAGCCGGCCCAGAAATGTGTTTTGGGGCCACGTAGGGAGCGTTGGCTTTGAAATGCAAAACCATCCAGATGCATGTTGAGGATCCGCATTGCGTTGCCCCCCCTTTCCATCAGAAGTGGCACGAGGTCCCCGTGTCTGTGTCTCTCCTCCCTTCGCCTCTTGAAATGCATTCATCCTGAGGTGTATGTGCCTATGCTGAGGTTGAGCGGGAGTTAGGACAGCTGGATTGTAGCTTAGCTAGGACATGGCGAGAGACATGGATCATCTGAGAAGGTGGAACATGACTCTGCTTGGGGGTTATAACTCGCCAAATCCTTTAGCCAGCATGCTTAAATATTTTTTTTGGCTTTCCTGACTCTCCATTTCTGCTCTTGTAGGCCTCCAACAATTGCTGCTATTGCATCCTCTAAGACAGTGGTTCCCAATCTGGGTCACCCAGATGTTCTTAGGCTGCATCTCCCAGAGCCCTACACCACCAGCTGTGCTGGGCAGAGTTTTCAGGAGTTACAGTCTAAGAACACCTGGGTTACGCATGAAGATGGGGAAACCAGAAGGTGTCTAGTAGAATCATGGAATCCTAGAATGATGACGTTGGAAGGGGGCCTCTAAGGCCATGGAGTCCAACCCCCTGCTCAAGGCAGGAATCGAAATCAAAGCCGACCTGACAGACAGTGATCCAGTTTTCTCTTGGATGCCTCTGGAGTTGGAGCGCTCACCGTCTCCCCTTGAGGTCATGGATTCCCTTGTCGTACTGCTCTAACTGTTGAGATGTTTTTCCTGATATTCAGTCTTGCTTCTGTGCTTGCAGAGACCAAGACCATTAGCTTCTTTACCTAACTGCCCTGTCAAATTACATGCTGGTACTGCTGTACGAAGAAGGGGAGCCTCAAGCCAGAGGTGCTGTTGCCAGCTGACTTTGCAAAGTTCTTTTTTCAGAGACCTGCTTGAAGGTGGATGAAACGTTGCCAGTAATCAAGAACAGTGGGTGGTGTGCTTGTGTGCTTGCAGTGACCAAGACCATTAGCTTCTTTACCTAACTGCCCTGTCAAATTACATGCTGGTACTGCTGTACGAAGAAGGGGAGCCTCAAGCCAGAGGTGCTGTTGCCAGCTGACTTTGCAAAGTTCTTTTTTCAGAGACCTGCTTGAAGGTGGATGAAACGTTGCCAGTAATCAAGAACAGTGGGTGGTGCAGATGAACTTTGGAGATGTCCTGGTTGCAGAGAAAAGCAGAGCTGGGAATTAACAGGAACTGCTGGATAGCTCAGTGGTTTAT